GGACCTCTGAGACTATCACAGTGCAGGTGCATTTATATGGAGACTTGATTACACACAGGTGGATTCTATTTATCATCCTTTGTCATTTAGGTCAACATTGGATCATTCAGAGATCCTCACTGAACTTCTGGAGTGAGTTTGCTGCACTGAAAGTAAAGGGGCTGAATAATTTTGCATGCCCAATTTTTCAGTTTTTTATTTGTTAAAAAAGTTTGAAATATCCAATAAATTTTGTTCCACTTCATGATTGTGTCCCACTTGTTGTTGATTCTTCACAAAAAATTACAGTTTTATATCTTTATGTTTGAAGCCTGAAATGTGGCAAAAGGTCGTAAAGTTCAAGGGGGCCGAATACTTTCGCAAGGCACTGTATATGTACAGGTCTCTATTTATAAGTACTTCACTCTAATTTTTTTATCTCTTTTCCTAATGCACATTATTTTGCTTGTCTATATGTACGTACACATTGAGAGCCACTGTACCAGGAAGAACGGAGGGAATTCCACACTGACTGGTAGGAGGAATGTGTTCTTGGGAAACGACAATGGGAACAGCATCCTATGATAGATGGATAAGGTGGTGAGGGTTTAGATCAGCAGCATTATGCAAACAGAGGTCTAAGCATCTGAGTTCCTCCTTGGATCTTGGTTGAGGATGTATGAACAGAGACAGGGACAGGCAACATCCCATTGTCAGAGAAAATGGAAATGATGCAGGCAGCCCGGTTCCCAGGAGTTGCTTCAACCTTTGTTGATAATGTTGATGGTTGCATTGTTGTTAAAGTGGGTGAAGATAGTTTTATGTTGCTTTTCTTGACCCCACAAGATTGCAGTGGCTGTGAAGGGATGGATTTGAATAGACCTGAGGAAGAATATAGAGGTTTTAGGAATTGCCAAACTTTTAATGGTTATGAGTCTGAGAACTGCTTCGAGCCCTATGGCGCCAAAACCCACTGGAGGTGGTGCTAGATTTAATGCTGTGAGGATCTTGATGGACACTGAGGAGGTGATTGGGGGGAGACTAGAGGGAAGTCATTTAGAAGCTGGATGAGGTGTTGAATCCTATAATTGTTCTACAGAATGTGGCACGAGTCCTTGGTGATGGCTTCGAATGGCTTCGGCTGCTGTATAGCTGAACTGAGTCTGACTGTGAAATAAAATAAATGATGGTAAGGTATTCCAAATAGGTGCCAAAAATCTGGATCAAGAGGAAAAGATCTTGAAAGAAGCTGGATATGGCCACCTTAGAGAGCCAGGTGCACCTCACAGTGAGTTTTGAGCATGGGCTGTTGCATATTTCAGAGAATGGTGTCACTGAGAGTGAAATGTGAAGCTCGGGACAGAGCTGCAATGTGAAACTGAGATTTTTATTACAAAGCATTTCTTGCCACAGTATTTCCTGGTGTGACCCTGATGAATGTATCACTGACTTGTTATGTATTTGTAACTTTGTGGGATTGTGGGGGCAGGTTGAGCAGAAGTGTCTTCCTCCACAGAATGAGCAGACATTGAAGAAACGTCATGGTGACGTGCTGTATCTGGTGTCGATATGATCATTATGATTGGAACGACCACCTTATAGGGCAATTGGTGGAGCATCCATTCAGCACCTACATCAGAAGCCGTGGAAACAAGGAATGTTGGTGCTGAATGGATGCTCCTGAACTTCAGATTGAAAATCTCCAATTTAAGCTAAAAACTGAAAAAAAAGATCAAATTGACAATGGACATGTGATACAATTTTATAACAAAACATATTATAGAAAAATCATATGCCAGCAAAAACCGCCACTCATTTGAGTTTGTTACCTGAGACCTAAACCTGTCCTTAAAAAAAAAAGAGGACAAAATTGCAGGAATGTACATATTATAATATTTAACATTTTAAAAACATTTTGTTGTAAACAAATATGGATTGTATATTATCTGACTAGAAGTGAAACAGCTAAGAAAAAATAAAAATGTCCTTGCTGGCGCCGAAAGGCTGCTCACATGCAGCACGGAAACATATAAATTAAAAAATCATTACTTTGCTTTAATGGCTCAAGATTATTTGTAGTTTCAGTACTTAACTACACAAAACAATGTCAAAAGGTAACTGGACTACGTGAATCACTAGGCGAATGCAAATGGAGTACCAGCAAGCTACTGCAAAATGTAGTTAAACTACTAGTTTAATTACATGTACAGTAGCTGCTTTGTGGTTATACAGAAATACACACTTGACAATTAGAATTGTAAGTAAATATTGTTGTAGGCAGCGTTTTAAACATCTGTATATACTGTATGTGTGTATATATGGGATGTACATTTTGTCTTTTTTATGACACACTGTGTAGACATGTACTTTGTTTTACAGTGATAAAGCTTCTCATGGCCTTAATCACTGGATGGAGTTATCTAACCTTGCAGATTAATCCACAGGGCTGTAATATGTTAACCTTATAATATGATAAAAATATTGATTTGAAATCCAAAAATCCAGCTGTGCTAAATGTTATGTGTATACAGAGGTCATTTGCTGTATGTGCACGTTGGACACTATTTATTGGAAACGAGTTGTTATGATGTAAGTAGGCTATTTTAAATTAAAAAGAAATGTAGATGATAGTTGCTGATATATCAGGCTCTAATGTAAGGCCATTCATTTACAGTGATTCATTTATACTCCATAGTACCCTCAGAATCTAATTCAGGAACAATTGTCTGAATGTGTGTTATTCCTGTAACACACCATGGGTGGCCAGCTTCAGTCCTTGTGATGTTGGCTCTTCTGCTAATCGTCATCCTTTCATGTGACTGAAGTGCTTTCTGTTTGCTGACCCAGGGCCTTTACTGAACAGTGATCCAGCATCTTCCTCAAAGGCAGTTAAACTGATACCTGCCTCTGTGAACCCTGTTCATATTTTATGATGGCCGGCTGTGCTGCACTATTGCACTCGTGATGATAAATGACACTTTGTGTACGTTGGCGAGTGATATGGAGCCCAGAAAGATGGAGTGCTGGAAAAAAAGAGAGCACGGGCTCTTTGTAGGCTCTTACAGTTGACAAACTGTCCTCTCTGAGATTCTTAACAAAACCCAGAGGGTGTACAACCTTCCCTGTGGAGCAGCCGCCAAACAGAGCTGGAGCAGGTTCACTATTACTGCCTTTTTATAAAGGTTTTATTACAACAGCTTTCAAAGAATTTGATTGTGAGGCTGTCAAATGAATTTAAGGCCCAGGAATTAAAACCCACTGGGTTCAACACACAATTTGTTGATAACAGAAATCAACAATACACTAGCAA